AATGTCCTATATCAAATTCTGTGTCATGATTTTTGACTCAGATATGTTTATCATAATTATAAGGCTTTTACTAACTTTAACTGCATAAGATTATATTTATCATAATTATAAGGTATTTTATTAATTTTAGTTGTATAAGATGCTTAGATACAGAGGCAAATTTGGTCATAGGAATTCCTAAATAATGTAATTATGAAGCTAAGTAATAACTTCATAGTACTGTATAATAACGCTGTGGTTTCTGGGACCTGTTAGATTGGTATCTTAAAACAATTAAATTCAAGAAACATTTATTTGGCAACTTCTATAAACTATGCACAGTGGAATGCTATAGATACACAAAGATAATTTTGCCATTGCTAAGAAAGAATGTTAGTGAGAAACAATGGATTCGTGGCCAGGACCTTTGAATGGACAACTCCACCCAAAGACAAGAGAGCCAGGGCATGGAGTATCACAGAAGCCAAGAGTAAAAATCATATCCAGGAGACTTTTCCTTGTTTAGAAATAAAAGAAATCAGGGGTGGGAGCATTTGAGATCTTGCTTCCCAGCATGTCATCAGTTCGGCTGGAATAAACTCTTATAAAAATTTGAAAAGAAAAGAAAAGAAATCGGGAGTCATAAGGGTGCATCAATAATAGCAAATGAGGACCAGAAATCAATCAGAATGAGAAAAGAGACGGGGCCGTTCAATTTGGTCATTAGGGTGTCATCAATGGCCTTAAAGAGAGCAGTTTAGTAATGCCAAAAGAGCAGAAACCAGACTGGCAGGAGTAAGTCAGAGATGAGAAAGTGAAGACGAGGGAGTAAAAGCTCCTTTAGGGACTACTCTTCCAAGAGAGAAATGGACAGGTAAATAAGAGGATATTTAGGACGGGGAAATCTGAGTTTATTTGAAGGATGAGGGAGAGAGCCAAAGAGCATGGGAGGTGGCTTCTACTAGAGCTGAAATGTATCTGACCACATTCACATTACCTACAGTATAAAGGATAGAAGTAAAGAGAACGGGTTTCTTTTAAGACAAAAATGTGTTAGCTACTTATTTGGTAATGTTAGACTCAAGCAATAGAAACTTTAATTCCTGTTTAATTCATTCTACCTTTGGAGTGCATTGGAATCCAGAAGACACACTGAATAAGCACCTATGATTCCTGATTCCATCCTCTTACTGTCTTTCCCGGACCCCTTTACAAAGAAACGCCAAAAATTAATGCTCTTTCCAGCAGGAAAAATTGAACGAATTCAGTCTCTGTGCCAAATTGATAATAAGTTCATGGTACTTATGCTTTAATTAAAACACGAAAGGGGATTCAAGTACCAAAATTTAATTGACATGTTTACGGCAGCATCCCATGTGCCAAATTAATCCATAAAAAAATGCTCTTCTTTGCATTTTGAAGCTTGAATCATTCATGATATTAATCAGTTGTGTTCAGTCACCCATCTTTTTCCCTAAAACTGTGCACAAAACCATGTCTTTCAAAATCTAGACCAAGGGTACATATAACATATGAAGCCTTCCCAGAGTCTTAGTGTAAAATAAGAATCAGCTTCGAAATTCTGCTTTTCTCTGTTATGAGGAAAGTTGTCCTGATACCTGGATGTGGGCACCATTTGCTACTTTTAACTGTTAGCTTTTTTAATATTACAGGGAGTCCAAGATAAATAAGGACTTGTAAATACCATTCCAGTAGCTTGCCATGGTGGTCATGTAAAGTCCCATCTGAGATGAGTACCATAAACTGCTTTATTTCATAATGCCTGAGGGCCCTGGCCCTGACTCCTAAGGCTGAAACAACACTGGCCATGCCTGGCCATTGAACGCCAATGTCCAAAGAGTGTCCTATCTCTCCTTAGTCCATTTCTTCACGACCACTGTCTCATCTTGAGTTGCACCTAGCAACACTTGAGAGTATTCCTGACAGTTCTGCAAAAAGGGCTGAGGGAAAAGGTAAAAAAGAGCATGGAAAGAGAATAAATAGGAAAGTAGAAGAGAGAGAAAAGGATGTTGGTGGGGGCATGGTTGAGTGACATCCAAAGTGACTCAGGTCCTACTAAGTGTCCACCAGACCCCTTTATCTATCAACCTTCCAGGTGCATGGTTTGCAATCCAACAGAAGGAAGGGTGGTGGTTAAATTCTGTCACATTGGAGTGAAGAGTTGGCCCTTGGATTTCTTTGCTTTCAGTTCTTACATTAAAAGAAGACATAAAGCATGATAGGATCATTTTAAACATGACATTAGGCCAGAAGAGCAGCTAAAGGAAAATATCAAAAACGTCATAATTTTTCAAGAGAACCAACAAAGCAGGTAGGAAAAGGAGTAGTGTCTCCCAGCTGTGTGCATGTAATTGCAGTTGTTTTCTAAAGCCAGACTCAAATTGAGGGGAGGGGGGTATAAACTAAAGAAAAATTATCTTTCTAAAAGTTCTTATTTTCCTTCAAAAAAAGAGAAAAATACTATTGCTTTAGGGCACAATCTATCATTTAAACTTTTTTTCCAGTTGACTATTTCTCTAAAGTTTCCATGCCCTGAAGCCTCTGAGTCTGTGTTCAAAATTAACAAAGAAATAAAAAATAAACCATGTCTGCTGGCACACTTTTCTAATGGGTCTCTTTTTTCCTCTCTCTACTTGCTTATGTACCATGAGCTGGCCTTCTGCTTGGAAAATTAGAGGGTGAAGATGACATGGTTGGCACATATCACCCTATGTTTGAAATCAAAGTGGTCATAGCAAGTCAGAAGATCTTAATGTCACCAAAATGCTCACAAAAAATACGAGGAGGAAAACGAATGCCCTGCTCACATCTGTTCTTCAGAGTTAAATAAAATTAACCACCTAAAATCTACATTTTCCTACTAAAACAAAAACAAACAAAAAAAGGAGTTCTGAGTCATTCATTTAGGAAAAACTTTCCAGTTGCCCCAGTAAACACAGCATTCTATAACACAAGGCAGTTCCCCTGCACTTTGGCATATCAATCCATTACTGGGATTGTCATAATTTCAGCATTTGCTTGGGGGAAAGTTTTACTTAGTAAATAAAATAGATCACACAATAAACTCCTCTTACACTCTTACAGATTCTCCTGCAATGTGGATGGGTGCTGAAGCTATTGGAGGAGCAATTTCTCATACTCACCAGCGATGCAAAAATGAGAATATTTATGAGAGTAGATGGAATGTTCTGGTTAAACATGTGTTAGCTCTATTATTTTAAGTGTCAAAAATATGTCATGCCCTCTTTGAATTTTTTATGTGTACATGGTCTAGAGTCCTCTAAGCTAAAAGTTACCTAAAGAGGAGATTGCTGGGAGCAGTCAGTCATATCTCAACCAACTTGTAGAGGTTTGAACAGTGATTTGACATAATCTGTCATCTTCCCATCTTCCCTGGCCTTTCTCCCTCCCTTGGGAGAGGTACAGGTACCTGCTTTGATTGCGCAGGGCTGCTCCACCTGCCTCCAGAGTCCCAAAGGCTTAGCACACACCTCAATATGTGACTTCATGTGTGATATTATAGATCCCAGAATAAACTGAATTCAAAAATCATTTGTGAATTATAGAGTGTAGGGCCAAGTTTTTTATCTTTTACCACCCAACTTTAGTTAACTATTTAACAGGAATTGAATTCTCCTAAGTTCTCTCATCTTTAAAATATGAATGATTATACAATTCATAAAGGATGACTGATGGATGTGGTGATCCAAATAGTTAGTCTTCTTTGAGTTTTTTTTTACTCATTGAGTCTGTCTCTCCACTATGACTATTGGTATTTATATTTATATCCAAGTGGTCCAGACACAGCTTTCTGACCCATAAGGACCCTCTGAAATCTCATCCCAATTTCCAAAGCTATCCTGTTTAAGCAAGGAGAATTTAACTTAATATTTGCTTCTATCAGTTCTAATACCTCCTTTAAACCATTAAGGCCCAGAGATCACTAAATACTTCTTAAGCAAGGGATGGCGTTAAGTATTCCCCTAAGTTGCTACTCATCCATTGACATCCTAACAGTGGCTATGAAAGTATGTACAACTCAGTCATGAGATTTTTCCCCTGAGAAAGGTTCAAAGGTCCAGGGGCAGGGTGTAAGCATAAATTATATTTGAATAGTCAAAAGATTTCTTATAGTTTTAGTTTATTTATCCTAGGGTTGAAAAATGACATTCAGGAGAGTTTCTCAGCTTATTTTTAAGTGTATTTCTGTTCTTTCAGCTAACTGCAAAAAAGTATCCTCCTTCTAGTTTACTTGCAAACACTAGTGAAGTCAATAGTGAATCTACTAATGGCTTCCACATTTTAAAATGTTTGGGGGTTAAGAGTTCACTTGGACCTAGGTAAACTTCTAACCCTAAATTTAAAAAAACCTAAAAGAGTTAGTCAGAAAATAAAAACTTGACTCAAACCTCAATACAGAAAAGTTTAAATTCTGTATTTCCTAATATTTACAATTTAAAAAAAAAAGTTTTGCTAGGCATAACTTTGTATCTCCTTCTCCACACACACCCTACAGCCCACCACCACCACCACCCCCCACACACACACACACACTAAACTGGATGTATCAAGTCATAAACAAATATCAGTAAATTACTAGGTATACTTTACTAGGTATTTCCAAGATGTTGTCATCTGTTCTCTCATACTTGTAAAATAATCATTCTAGTCAGTGTAAACATCCTCAAAGTGACAGCCAATATTCCTAAAAATAATGTGAATGCTCTCAGGAAAATAATTATAGAGGCATCAATTTTTTTTTCACCCAGAAAATTTATGTGCTCTTTCTGCTTTGGCTTGTCACTGTTATTTCAGACTGCCTAATTTTGGAATACCTACATTTTGGTGCAATAATTTTTTTTATTCTCTATGCTCTCCATGAACTCTAATACCACTCTCATTAATCACATCCACAAATTAATTTATCATTGCTGTGTTCAGTCCATCAGGGGTGGGGAGGAGGCAAGATTCATTACTCAATGGGATCTCCTTTATGCCAGGTCCAGATTATAAGGAGCTGGATGTTCACCTTCGCAGGATGGAGTCTGGATTTGGCTTCAGAATCCTCGGAGGAGATGAGCCTGGACAACCTGTAAGTTGAATCTTCTTTATGTCCAAACTTTGAGCTATATTGTGTGTGTATGCATCAGAAGAACTATCGTTGTGTATGACTTCTAAAAGGAAATTTTTTAGGACTCACATATAAAAGTTTAAGATGTGGGGTTTTTTTATATTTAAGTTCTCAAAATATGCCAGTATTTCCATGCCTGCGAACCATCAGAAATCAATGCATGATGGGGTGGAACGGGTCATTGGGGGAAAAAAGGGGCATCTGTAATATTTTAAACAAAAATACAATTTAAAATTTTTTTAAAAAAAAGAAATCAATGCACATCGTATTAAGAAAGGGACATTACTCTTCCTTAGAATAGTTTGGATTTTTCTTGAATATTTTAATTATTTAACTGTATTGGACCAACCACTGGTCCCTCTGGGCAGCAGCTGACAGGTAAACAAACATGCAGTATGACAGAAGATACATGTGAAGAGATGACTTGGAACAACAGAATTGTGTGTATTTCTGTCAAAACTACAGGGGAGAGAAGATACAGTGATAAACAGAAGCAAAATCAAGCTCAATGCTGCAGAATTTCAACCGGATTTGAATTAAAAGAGGGGAGGCTCTAAAGAAATCATTCCTCCCTATAACTCCTCTTTTTTTTTCATTAAATTTATTGAGGTAACCTTGGTTAATAACATTATATAAGTTTCAGGTGTACAATTCTGTAATATACCATCTGTATATTGCATCACATGCTCTCCACCCAAAGTCTAGTCTCCTTCCATTCCTACCCCCCTGGTAGCCACCATACTACCCCATAACCTATTTTGGTCTATATATATAGAACTGAAAATAGTATCCAATCCTTTCACATACCAAACTTTTAACTTCTTGGCCTCTCCAGGGTACTTTTCTGACTTAGCTTCCTTCAGGGTTGTTCTCTAACATGTTCATAGTCTCCCTATTTAGTTTGCTCTCTGAGATTTTAAATTCCTTTTAAGCAAGGACCTCGTCTTTTCTTTTTTATTATCCTTTACTGCTCCATAAATGAAAGGTGTGACATTACACAGAGTTAGCCAAACTCCAGGTTAAGATCTCAGTTCTCTAAACTGCCAATCTGCCCAACACAACCGACACCAACTGCAATGAGCTTGCAAAAACTGCAATGTCAAGGGAAGAATCACCACAATACTGCCTTCAGTTCAGACACTAGCTGAAAATTTGGGGATCCCCACAGCCTCCCTCTGGTTCAATAATTCACTAGAACAACTCAGAACTCACACATCTGCTGTACTTAGGATTACAGTTTTATTATAGTGAACGGGAACAAATAAGAACCATCTAAAAGAAGAGGTGCATAAGACAAAGTCTGGAGGGTTCTAAATGTGAAGTTTCCATCTTCCTCAGGACGTGTTACCCTCCCAGCACCGATCCACTCAGGACTGTCAACCAGGGATGCTCACTCAAGTTTTTGTGTCAAGAGTTTAGGGTTTTATTATGTGGGCATGATTGATGAAATCATTGCCCAGGTGATTGAGCTCAACTTCCTGACCCCTCTCCTTCTGGAAGGTCAGGCTGCTATCACATGGCTCAAAGACCCAACCCTCTAATTATATTGCTGGTTGTTCTGGCCTTGTAAGCTCCCACCTTAAGACTGTTGGAAAGGTTGGCTCCATCTCAAATCATCTCTTTAGCATAAACTATCAGGTAGCCACCATTTGCCTCCTTATTAGCATAAACTCTGGTATAGCCCAAGGGGCTCACCACGGAAACAAAGATACTCCTGTTCCAAGGGTATAGAGGTACCTTTCACGAAAGCCCAAATTCTTTATTACACAGTCATATGTTGAAAATGAAAATACAAAATGATATCAAATGAAGGAAACAAAACAAAACTATGTCCAAACTAAAGCAGCAATTTAAGGTGATTTTTATAGCATTTTGTGCGATACTGCAAGATAGCTGAGACTTTTGTAGAGCATTTAAGGTTAAATCCATATAGAATCCGTTGTACTTAAACTAAACATAATGCCTCAAACTTAATAGCTTAAGGGGTCACCACCAAAAAGATGAGGCCCCTGTTTGTTTAAGAACACATTGACTGACACACTTTTTCCACTTACCAATCTGTGATCTTGTAGGCAGGGCTGTTTTGATGGTGTGTTTGTGTCTCCCAAGTCTAGCATAAAGTACCTGGCACAATAAATAATTGTTAAATGGAATTTAAGAGAATCTTCTTAGCCAAACCAAACTGTCACCTGACCGCAGTTCCCAAAACTCCCTGATGCCTGTGTTACTTATTTTGTTTACTATCTTTGAAACTCCCTTCCCATAAGATGAGATAGAAAGAAACTGGAAAGGTGAATATTTTGCACCAAAGGAATCTTCAACCAGGGCCAGGTTATGGTTTTAATAGGCCCTAGCACTGAAAATATTACCAGGTCCCTTCTCTTACATATAAATACAAATGAAAGATTAAGTCATAAAATAAATGTAGGGAAAAACAGGAAAGATTCCCTTCTCCCCATGATGCTTACTTCAATACAGTCTTTGAAATACGCAATTCTTACTTTGCTGGGCCTCCCCCATAGTCTCATGATCTGCTTTGGAGGTAAACTAGCACCACATTTGGGAAATACTGTTTTCACTGGTCTCCCCCTCCCCGCAGGTAGAAGGAATTGTGTGACAGTTACAGGGAAGGCATAGTCTCAGCTAGCTCAGGAAGGGAGAATTCTGGCTGAACTTTGCCAAGCACAGATGCAATAGAATTAGTATCCAAATGGAGCACATATTGTTCAAAATGAAGCTCAGGTGTATGAATGCAGCCATGGTCACCACCCAGGCTCAGGACAACTTTTTGCAGGGTCAGTACACAGGTTCCCATGTTCTGACTTTCTGAACATTGGCTTTGCATTCCTGAGTCCTTTCTCCCTCTAGTGGGCAGGTATGCAGTATTTATGTTAAGCCTCCTCAGATTACATGGATTGTTAGTTATCCTCATTGTGTTTATTTAGATTTATTTTGGTTTATTCTTTTATTCAAATGATTTAAGACACACTCGGGCTGCAAGTTACAAGCCTGACAGGTCAGCCATAAAGTAGAGACCTAAATCTTTCTCAAGCAAGCAAAGCCAGAAAACAATGTCTTGAAGACCAGAATATTGCACCTCAGAAAGACCATGTCAGGAAGAGCGAGTCTACTGTAAAGATCTCTCATGAGCCCTTCCTTCCTGCCTTCTTCCACTGTAAGCCCAGAGATAATACACAAACAAAATGTACTAGCCTCATTTAATTGCTGGCGTGCTACAAAGGAAAGGCTCTGGAGGTGACTTGGTCCCCAGCCGCAGGTGGTCTCATAAATTACCTCAAATGGGTTTCTCCCTCCATATATATGAAATGGTATTGACATCTCAGGGTGCACATTAAACACGACAACACGGCTTACAGCAAATAATGAACAGCGGGACTCCAGCTCAGACAAAGCATATGGGCATTTTTCCTGCAAGAGGAAATACTTTTTACAGTTAAATAACAATAGAAATAGAAAGAAATGAAAAATTGCCAGAAAGGAACAAAACTGAGGTTTCCAGCTGTGAGCTGAAAAGAGATGGAAAGGCATCAAGATGGAAAGACTTGAAAACACTGCAGTGGAGAAAGGCTTGTGTGGAGGAAAACTGTTAAAGAAAGAGCGAGGTGATGACAGACATACTCTTTGGCACAGGCGTTAGGTGCAGACTTGAAGGGGGTGGGGAGTTTCAGAAGGCAAGAGCCTGAACTCTGCCCTCCACATCGTCATGTTGCCCCTGACTGTAATTATTTCAGATCGTATCTACTGGGATTGGACTAAGATGAGGTAGTGCAGGAAAGAATTCAAAGGCATGCAAAGGTGGTTCTCATTTTGTTTGCTGGTTATTAGTTTGTTTTTGTTTTCTTGGTCTGTTTTGCCACAAAGCTGTTTCTTCAGAACCAACACAATAGAGACAGGATAAAGAATTTCTCCAAGAGCAATGAGAAAGCTAATGAGAAGCTGAAGAATCCAGGGAGGCCAGAAAGAGGGAGGCCATTGTTGGCTGGGAAGGCTCACTGGCCAGTGTAGCCAGGGGCCAGCAAGCCCGGAAGGAATATGTAGCCTGACCATGCACTCAGGAGGATGTCCCTCAGCAGACCTGGAAAGTGACTCTGACTGGGCAGGGAGTTGAGGGGAGGTGCTGGAACATGACCAGGGAGACGGCCATTGGACCAAGTGGGAATACTCAGAACCTTGCTACTCAAAGTGTGATAGATTACAGACCAGAAGCATTCAACATCTCCTGGGAACTTATTAAACATGCTGAATCTCAGGTTCCACCCCAGGCCTGCAGAATCAGACTCTCGCGAGTAGGTCCAAAAGTCTCTTTTAGCAAACTCACTGGGTGATTCACATGCACCCAAAAGTTTGAGAACTATTGACAAGGGATCAGATATCCTGAGGCATCTTTTCAAGAGCTTAAATGAACATAGCATATACAGTGGGACTCCAATATGAGTTACAGCGCAAAAAGGAATCATAGATTATCTAGTCCCTGCAGTTACGGTGGCAAATAGGAAATAAACTAATAGAATGTGCTGAGTGTACAAAGTATAATCAAAATAAAGAAAAAGAGTGTGGATTTTTTTTCCTGGATAGAGAGAGACACATGGAGCTAACTCTGTGTTCGCAGTGAAATATAATGCATGAAGGCGCAGAAGGGCCAAAGGCTAGGGACAAAGCAGCATGCAAGCCAGAAGTGACAGTGCATGGCCAGCGTCTTCCCAGCAAAGGCGGCAGTTCCTGGACGGAGCCAACGTAACTAACACATATGTAATGCGGACAGGCAGCTCGGATGCCTACTCCATTCCCCATGCTAGTTCAATTCAAGTTTGCTTAATGGCTATGGCAACCTCTTTATGAAACAGGATAGAGGATGGATTGTATAATGTAATTATACAATAATATATATACGTATAATACTATGTAATAAATTGTATTGAAGTATTATATTGGNTTGCTTAATGGCTATGGCAACCTCTTTATGAAACAGGATAGAGGATGGATTGTATAATGTAATTATACAATAATATATATACGTATAATACTATGTAATAAATTGTATTGAAGTAGTATATTGAATATGTACAGTTGGTTTAGATATTCAATTGACGTATTCATTGAACATAGTTTATTTAGAAATAAATATATAATATTTGATAAAACAAACTAAAAGTTAAAGATTAAAGTTTCAAGTTTTTTAAAAATGTCTGGTGAACTTCAGTCTTTGCTTAAATGTCAGCATCTCCCTGAGGCCTGCTCTAACCAACTCCAACACCACCTCAGCTGCATGACTGACACCCTCCCACCACCCCACCTTGCTCTATTTTTTCATAATACATGCCTGCTAGATACAACATATCCACACATTTATTATGTTTATTATTGTCTTACCACTAGAGCCGAGATTGTTGTTTATTGTTCACTGCTGGATTCCTGGCACCTGGAAGTGTCCCTTGGGCTCAATGACTATTTGCTAGATAAATGAATTAATTAGCGAGGAGAGTACTTCATACCACAGCAATACAGCAGAAAAGCAGCTTTACTGGGATTTTCCCTTTAAAGGATAATGTTAAACTAGTAGCACAGAAGATAACTTCAGGGATATCTGTGTATCTTTGTTGTTTTCCTTTGTCAAGAGAGGAATAGGAATTTTCCAATGGAAGTTTATTTTTACAACTTTTGTAGATGGATCAATTGCAGCTGTGGTTCTCTCAGTTGTAACCTGTTATTCTGGTTCACTTTGATCAGTTAGAATCAGAACTATAGCTTAAAGTTGATAATTAACCAGACAAGGAGTTCACAACCATATTTTTTTCTATAGCCACCTATAAACTCTCCCACTACAGCACACAGGAAATCTGGAGGTTGAAACACTTTCTTTGGGTAACCCAGTTAAATGCAGCTTCTCATGGGGCAGTGGAGAAACATAAACAGTCATTTTAACTGGCTTTTGCACAAAGCACTTAGCAAATTTTTGAAATGCTCCTTAGTGGGTTGAGACTTTTGAAGAATAGATTGGAACACCTTCAGAAAGGAACTCATAAATTCAGGTTGGCATGACAATAAGGGAAAATGGAGATTGTCAGAAACATACCCGACGCTGCACAGCCAATCTAAGGCAGGACATGTGAGGCCTTTCCTGTGAGAGTAATAATGAATCACTCATCAGAGCACTAATATTCAACATAGAAGCAAATCTACTACCACCCCTACCCTCCAGGAATACTTGAAAAGCAGCTGTAGTGATGGGGAGTTTTCATTTCTCTGCATAAAAAGAGCTATCCAGTGGACAGAGGGAAAAAGAAAACTCTTCAGACTATAATTTTGCATATACCTGAGAAGTCTTGGGCATTTAGATCTAGTTGCCATGTTGACAGGCCGCACTAAGCAGTGTGACTAAGTAGAAGAAATGGTTGTGCTGCCGGCCTGAGGACATGTAAGCCTACAGATCACAGTATGGCAACTCCGCAAATTAGCTGGAATGCACAGATCTGGAATTTGAAAGAAATGTTTGCACCTGAAAGAAATCAATCTGTGAGCAAGGGATCACTTTATAAAGATTTAAAATAAAACGGAGACTATAGGCTTTGTAATATTATCAGACTAATGGTAACTACTGCCTTTAGATGCTGTGTGGCTAAGCCACTTGGCAAAAGAAAAAGGGTGTCCTTTGTTCATGAGTTAGAAAAATTGTTTATAGGTTAAACAGCAAAACTAAAATACTAAGTACTATTATCTTTCTTCTGAAAAAGATAAAAGCCTTACTAATGGACACTAAATTGTGTTTCTAATGAGAAATGGGAAACCTTATTTTCTGCCTTTCATCACAGTCCCTGGTTCAGGGAATTACATAAAATGCACACTTCCCAAATGTGTCCCTCCTCATTTCCTGGTATGGTAGCCACCTAACCAGCAGAGCCTTTCAGGGGACATGCAGAACTAGAATGTTCATTGTGCAGAGGATGGTGCTTCAGATAAGTATTAAAGGAATGAAGGGAAAATCTGGGGAATATTTCACTGAGTTTTGTTTTTTGTTTTTAACTTTATTATTGTTTAAAATATTACAGATGTCCCTTTTTCTCCCCAATGACCCGTTCCACCCCGTTCCTTCTCCCTCCCCAGTCCCTTTCCCCACCATTGTCCAGGTCCTTGGGTTGTGTATATATGCACATAAATTCTTTGGTTACTCTCTCCCCCTCCACCCACCCACCCTCCTCCATCCCTCTGACATTCATCAGTCTCATCTATGCTTCCATGTCATTGAATCTATTCTGTTCATCAGTTTATTAAGTTCTTTAGATTCCACGTATCAGAGAGATCATGTGATATTTGTCTTTCGCTGCCTGGCTTATTTCACTTAGCAGAATATTCTCCAGGTCCATTCACTGAGTTTTTTTATGTCAACTAGCCAGTAAAAGCCAACCATGAGTTTTGCTTTGTTTTGTTTACCTTCAGCTTTTCAAAGTGAAGCAAAAAAACAAAATGAAACAAAAAACACACTTTGAATCTTTATAAGAGTTTAGTAACTTGTGGCAGCAGGTTTCCTGACATTTTTGGAGAGCTCACTATGTGCTATGAGCAAAGTAAACGCCTCCCGTGCATTATTTCACTCAATTCTCCCCATTTTGCAGATGAAGAAATGGGGTTAAGAAGCTCACGGGGTTAAGAAGCCTTGCCCAAGGCCACAAAAATAAGAATTGAAGTCAGGAGCCAATCCCCATCTTGTTTCAATTGAGAGCCATGCATAGTGGCCAGTAGCATCAGATTATTCGGGGTTAGAATTTTCTTAAGGGTGATAATTTAGGAGCTAGGTAGCAAGTGTCCCCCAAACTTCATGGCCAATGGCAGCAGCGAGTCAAAACTTATATTTCTCTAGAAGGAGGGAGCAATCTGGAAAAGTTAAAAGGGCACCCCTTCAGCCTCTCTTTTTTCAAGCACATGCTCAGGTTTGGCGCAAGGGGTATAATGTGGGAATAAAATCTTTCACCAAGTTTTTATATACTTATTTGTATATTAAAAGTTTGAAACATAAATGTCCTTTTCTTCTCACTGCTTCTCTAGATTTTGATTGGCGCCGTCATCGCCATGGGCTCAGCCGACAGAGATGGCCGCCTCCACCCAGGAGACGAGCTGGTCTATGTCGATGGGATTCCCGTGGCCGGCAAGACCCACCGCTACGTCATCGACCTCATGCACCACGCAGCCCGCAACGGGCAGGTCAGCCTCACTGTGAGAAGAAAGGTGCTATGTGGAGGTATGTAATCGAGCAGCAGCAAGAGTTGGAGGTTAGCTGGTGAGATGCTTTTGCGAGCCATGCTAAAGGCAATTAAATCAATTTCTATATTATATGAGAGAAAACAACCTAGATATTCCAAATGGAACTGATTTTGCCTGTGCACCCCACTAGCACAATTCCAAGCAGTCTTTGAGGCCTACCTTTTCAATGCAGTCATTAAAATTTTCGAGCAAAGCCTGGGGCTAATTTAAGATGTGTATATTCTTTGCTTGGTAGATGCTAATCATAAGAACATTGGAGTAGGTGAAAAATATGGCTTTTGAAAATGTTCCTCATTGTGTTTACAAAGCAAGAACCACAGCATTTTGATAACATAATAAGGCAACAAGGGTGGAAAATTAGCTTCTATTGTAGAGCCTGATAAAAAGTAACAATAATACTATTACCCTGATTTACAGGAATATAGCTGTATGTCATTTTGAGGAAACACAATTCATATAACTCCAAACTTATGAAACAGATAAATTAGAAGTAATTATTCCCTTTACATCCATTTTCCCAACTTCATAAAAGAATCCACCACAGACATACTTTCAAAAGTCAGCCCTTGGAGTCATAACATGATTCAGTTTCTCTCTTCACCATCTCAGCTCCCTCCAAAAAGGTTTATATTTTAAAGAATATGTCTATTACAAGAATCACACTATTTGTTGTAACCTGAGCACTCCGTAACATTGGGAATATAGTCCCACACTGCCTTTACGTGACTCTGGGAATCACAGGAGCAGTGGCACCAACAATGTCTCTTGTCACCCTTTGCCTCCGTGGCCTGTGGCCTTTCTGCTGGGCCCCCTGACTGTTTCTTGTACAGAATGACAAATGCTAGAATTAAGAAGGCCCTTAGCAACACCAGTTCCCTCATGTTGCAGATGAGAAAACTGAGACAGAGGCACAGCAGCCTGCCCCAAAGTCTGCAGAGTCAGCAATGATGCAGACTCACCTCCCTCGCCAGGGCTTATTTTTTATACAACCTTCAGTCTCCTCCTCACTCTGTCACCATCCCCACCCTCAGGGAATGCAAAGACATCAGACCTTTAGCAAATGCCACTTCCAAAAATAAGAAGGAGTATTTCATATGTGTTATCATTATAACATATTTGAATTAAAAAGGGGACCACTGGCTAATCACAGGCTGCTAATGACTCAAGAGAATAAAGTTTATTAGTCAAACAAAAAATCCTTTTTTATTCGCGTCTTCTAGAAACCAGACTTTGAGCAAGGGCAATCATTTAAAAAGGGAAGTCAGAAGAACAGTCAGCCCTCACCAGCAGAGACTGCCATACATTTCGTATCATATGGAGGTTTTGCTAAGAAGCGTCATTCACCTTCAGAAATTCCTGCCACACCACTTGACCCAAGAAGCAAAACACCTTGAATTATCTTTATTCTTGGGCAAGATGCCAGAAGGAAGACAATGTTTTCTCGGTTAACATTTAACCGTCTCTCTCCCTACAGAGTGATTTTCAATAAAAAGTTTGCCATGCTATATGTCCTGTAGCCCAAAGATAAATTAAAAAGATACCTGATTTACAAGGAAATACCCTGCAAAGTGCAAAACCAGTGCACCAACATAATTTCATGCTCCCCTTGCCACCAGCTGATTATTGCAAATTAAATTTTGTTCTAATCAACCCAAGCTATTGGAGTGTATGCCAAATGCTGCAAAAATGTATTCTTGCAATTTGTGGAACATGTGACTTCTGTAAAGATGCTCTTTGCGGCAGTTCTTACCAATTTTACTCATTTAGGTTTTGAAGTGCATGTCAAGTGCATTTAATTTTTGAAAATGTTCTGCTGCAGACTGCTCATTCTCACCAGGAGAGTTTCCAAGTTAATTCAGCCCACTCTTTCTTGAAAGCTTCATCAGTATTGAAAATGATTAAGTTCAGCAAAGGATACCCTGATAGTGAAGTAAATGCCTAGAAATTGTGTAAAAAAGATTTTAAAAAAACAAAAGACATAGGAAAACAGCCTTTCCTCATAGCTGCCATGTTTCTAACAGTGAGAAGGGACAACTACAAATTCATATGACAGCAGAGATTCCATTTCAAAGTTGTTGTTATCATTATTATTACACTTTCCTAAGCAAAGGCAGTGGGAGGCACAGGCCTGTCTTAGGATGAGATGATTGAAAGCTGAAGGGACGTGAGCAATCAGCTGTGAAGAGACAGGAGATAAGTGAGGAGAGGGGCAGGGTTGCCACCTTTTTGAAGAAAGGAGCAACATTATAGAGAAGGTGCTGGAAGAAGGGAGGTCATCCGGATCATACCCTTCAGCTGTATGCTTGCCGAAGCTTGTACAAATGTCCTGCCCACCTTAGAGGACATTGGGCACTGGCTTCTTAGTTGATGCTCAAGACAAAACACATCCATTATGAGAGATACAGGTGGTGAGTTACACTGGGCAAAGATTAGAATAACACAAAACCTACTCCAAATATCGAAATATAAAAAAAGCATGCAATTAAAATTAAAATACAAAAAAGCATACAAATACTAAGGCAATCTTTTCAATTAGGCAATGGCAAGCTAGATCCTCAAAAATGAGAAACTGGAGTAAAGGAAGAAAATATGCAGTAGTGCATCCAGTTTTATTTACCAGATAATTTTAGCACAGATTCTGTACCTTAAGTGGGTTTTGAGAGATGTCTTACTCATGCCATCAGATCCAATATTTAGTTGTTTTTTCCCAAGGATAGTAGAAGAATGCCTTTAATTATTACACTGAAAGTGTAAATATTTATATGTGTAATAGCTCAGTTTGAGATGTTTACCCTAATGATACATTATTTTGAATATGCACTATTTGTCTGAGAAAAGGGTGTCCCTGAGGAATTTCCTAAAGTGTTAATCTAGAACTGATGTGAAAGAAAGTTTTATGACTTAGTCAAAATATATTAGAGTCCATCTTTAAGCTACCAGCATTTTTCTCCAACGCCTAAGGGAACGTCCAATTCTTGTCCTAATGCCGAGAAAAGGAAGGATTTCCTGTCAGATGAGTGAGAAGTTTAGCCAGTGTTTAGGAAGCCAGTGGGTTCCTTGGTCCCAGCTACTACATTTTTTGTCAATTCAAAATACATTTCTTTATTCTTTATCTATGAACATGTCACCCATTTAAATAAGCCATATAACCAGGAGTGCACCAACTGAAATGTCTGCAGGCAGGCCAGCCCCAGAGGCAGGGCTACAGCCTCTGGGCTGCCCTGCTCCATCAGGCACCCTGACGGTGCATGTGTCTGTCAACACTCCAGCCCCCAAGTCCAAGCTCTGTCCACACACAACCCCACTGCCTCAGTCATGCTTCAGCACAAGACCTGTACATCTGCAGTGCTGTCATCCTCCTGGGAACGGTCCTGAGAAGAAGCCTAGGCACACTCTGGAACAAGCAAGGTCTGTTTGGTGACAGGATCCTGGCACCCAGTCTGTGACACGGATGGGAAACAAAGGCTCCCATTGAACAAGTTCCTAGGGCCCTTGCATACCCCTCACTCACCAGGTAAATTAGTAAATCAGGAATTTGCAAGAGACATTGGGGAATGGTTGGGACCCTGATTACTTGCAAACTGCAAACCCCATCAAGGGGAGCAGCCATTGCCCAGCTCTAGCAAATCACTACCAAGTATTTCAAGAGAAACTGGAAATCCGTATTTCTGTAAAGGCTGCCTGTTTTAAAACATTGACAATTAATTTTAACAACATATAGGCCAACACTGCACAAGAATAAATGGGTCTGCTGGCCAGGATCAGCTTCTGGCCAGTTGCTGACTGTTCTAGTCAAAACATCTCATCTGGAGGGCACAGCCAATGAACCGGGCTTTCCCAAATGGAGCCTCTCCCCCAGTAAGCCAGTGGTGATTTCCGGTATAACTGGTGCAGAAGAAACAGAAACAACCTAAACATTAATTATCTGACTTGAGTAGATACTAAGTGACTGAATTCTATATTTTCATTTGCATGTGAGACAAAAGGATGAGTCAGGGATAATGGAAGTTAGTGAATTAAAATAAATGTACATGGTATTTAGTCACTCTGTGACATTTTACTATATTATTCTAAAACAAGGATGCTCATGCACTACACCAGGAAGGGTTGTTGGGGAGGAGTAGAAAAATGATGTCGAGTCAATTCAATCCTTCAAAGTCAATCATTGGAAGTCTTCTTAACTCCCTGGTTTTAAATGTGTTCATGTTGTTAAAGATAAAGAACTTTGTTCTAGAGCTTGAAAGAGAAAGAAGTCCAAAAGCAATAGAAAAGTATCCTGTTAATGTAATTACCCAGGGACCTCTCACGTTGACTTAGTGGTTGAGATTTTCTTTCTCTCTGTAGAACCTGTGGCATAGCCACTCCCAGCCATTTATTGCAAAGACAGATAATTTTTCCTTGTTGCCGCTTTACTGACAACCAAGCTCTCAACCCCCTAAAATATGACAGCCAGAAAATGAGATCTCTCTTGTCACTGCCTATGACATTTAGTTACTGATTTGGTCCAATAACTCGGGGAGATTTTCAATTTAACGTTGCAGCATAATAATTGTTTGTTTTTCTTCTTCCTGACTATCTCTAATCACTTTACTTCCAACGCGCAGAAGGACTGATAAAGGACAAGTGCTTCACCGAGACAATAACAGCATGTCTTTGGATGATGTTTTCTTGCGGAGAGGGTACATTTTACAGGCAGTTTTAATTTGGTAGAAAATAGGCTTTGACATTTTTGTTCTTTTATGACCTCAGCACATTTCTTACAGATGAAAAGCATCAATTTGTTTTCTTTTATTAAAACCTGATTAATTAAATCTTACCAAAAAATCAAATTTTTCAAATGATAATAAGCAGCAGCCTGAATCTTATTTGGTAATTACAAACAAGACATGCATGCATTTTTGTAAGGCCATTTGTAATCTGGGCACGTGAATGAATGCAGCTCCTTTTTCTTAAGGTATCAGTGTAACAGAACCTTTCTTGTAGTCTCTTCTTTCTCCCTGACTTTTCCATTTTAGAGTGGAATTGCAGCTTAAAAAGTTAAGAGCCTTCATTGGAAATTTTGCTAATTAATTTTAACTGGCTATATGAGATACTTTCCAGACTTCAAAATAGGAGATGATGTCTAGAGACCCCCCAAAAAATCATTAATTGTGATTCTTTTCCATCTTACTATTCCTCTGTTCCATAACATCTTTTGAGTGTGCTGATTAAATTGTAAGATGGAGATGAAACAGTCTTCTAATTACTGTATTCTAGGTGCCCACTTCAGCTCTTTTAATCAAGATACCATTACCTAAGTATTAAGTTAAAATGACAAAAGTCTTTCTGGATGACAGATCAACTTTCATTTTAAAAACTAGCTTCTCTTGGCTGCCAACTTTCTATCATTTCTCTCATAAATATAATCGCTTTCTCATGGAAGTAGTGACTTGGTTTATCTGATTGATAATAGAGTGTATTTTTTAATAATACAGAATGTAAATGAGCCAGGCCTCCAACACTTCCTTTAATGACTCAAAATTCATTATTCCTTAGCACGATAACATTGTTAGATCTTAGAGTGAGCAAACTGCTTTAAGAAGAATGTTTCCTACCTACACAAAGTGAAGTAACACTTCTCAGCTAACATAATATCACAAAATTAAATAAAACCATAGCTCTTTAGTAAAATTATGATAGGTCACTTTACATAGACATCCCCTGGGCTGTTAGCCCCACTTCGAAGACTTCTACAGCAGCATTTCTCAGTGTGGCCTAGAAACAGCACCTGGATTCCTGTGCCCAATCTTCCCTAGATCTGCTGAAAAAACTTCTTATATGTGGACTCTGAAGATGCATATTTTTTGCAAGTTCTTTAATAATTCTTGTGCACAGTACCATTTAAGATTCTGTCCACTTGTTTTATGATCTTCTTTGAGCAATTATTATTATGCGATTAAGCAGCTCGATATCTATAACTAGGCATTGTGCTTGGGGCTGCAGTCTTAACAAGAAGGAAATACAAACAGAGAGCAGCAAATAGGAAGCTGATGAGGGGTTTTACCTGTGTTTGCCATGAAGAGAGGAAAAGGGACCAAGATCTCCATAGCCAGGTTTGTGGCTCTGCACTTCTGGGGGAAATAGAAGCCAGTCTGGTAACAATGCTGGTGTCTAGAACAGTGCCTAGTACACAGAAAACGCTCATCAAGACCTTGTTAAATAACCGAGTGCCTGTATACACTGTTGTTCCAGGGGAGCCCTGCCCAGAGAACGGGAGGAGTCCAGGCTCCGTATCAACCCACCACAGCTCCCCACGCAGTGACTATGCGACCTACACCAACAGCAACCACGCTGCCCCCAGTGGCAACGCCTCTCCGCCCGAAGGCTTCGCCTCCCACAGCCTGCAGACCAACGATGTGGTCATTCACCGGAAAGAGAACGAAGGCTTCGGCTTTGTCATCATCAGCTCCCTGAACAGGCCCGAGTCCGGATCCACTATAAGTAAGCGATGCTTCGCCTGCCTTTGATTGAGAGGTCTTGTTTTACTTTGTTCTGGTGGCAGGGATACTGTCAAGCAGATGGGAGAACTGGTGTAGGCATACCATGGATCCTGAAAGTCGCAGGCTGTGGGCACAAAGAAGGTATCCTTAACACTGGTTAGCCAAATGTTGCTGAGCTTTGGCTCAGGAGGAATGCAAGACCACAACCCAACAGCCCCACAAAAGCTCCTCATCCATTTTGAACTGGAAAGAAAAGAAAGCAGAGTGAAGTGGGAGTGTAGGTGTGAGGAGAGGGGTGCTCTGTGTGGTAGAATGAAACAAGGTCTGCAGAGGATCTGGGGAAAGCAGTCTAAGCAGAAGCCCTGAGGTGGGAAGGAGCTCAGCATTGAAGAAGCACATGGAAGCCCAGTGCGGCTGTGGTAGAGTGAACAGGGCGAGGGCATGAGACCAGAGAACTGGGCAGGAGCCAGGTCATGCAGGGCTTCGCACATCCACGGGAAGAAGTCTGGATTGTGGTCTAAATCCACTGGACCCACTGGAGGGTTTTAATCAGTGGACAGAAACCTGACTTATATTTTTAAATGATGAGCCCAGCTGCTTGTGGAGAATGAAATTTTGGGGAGGGAGCAAGAGTGAAAGTATAAGGCAGTGAGGAGCCGTTAAAAAAGCCTGTGGATCCAGAGACAATGGTGCCTTCCCCTTGGTAGTAACAGCACACAGGGGAGAAGTAGAGGACTTCACCTCCTGGGGTTCCTTCAAATCTGAGGTTCTGTGAGTCTGTACAGCAGGTGACCTCAGTAATCATAGTTTTCTTCCAATTAGTCATCTGTGTAGATACACAGTCTTCCTCGAAGGTTTTCCTTTCAGCAGTCCTACTCCAGAAGTCATTCTGTAGCTGGCAAGCAGTAGGACAGAGAGGCAAGAGGGACACTTGTTCATTTCTCATGTTGAAGTCATTTAGTACAAAATGTTGTGGGTAAAAACACCGGAATAGAGAGTATTAAGAGAAAAAATAGCCCTGGCTGGTGTTTCTCAGTGGTTAGAGAATCCACCTGAGCTCCAAAGGGTCACAGGTTCGATTGCTGGTCAAGGGCACATACTTGGGTTGCAGGTTCCATCTACACCCTGGTCAGAGCACCTGTAGGAGGCAACCAATCAATGTGTCTCTCTCACAGCAGTGTTTCTCTCTCTCTCTCTTCCTTCCCTCCCTTCTGTCTAAAAATCAATGGAAAAATGTCCTCCGTTGAGAATTAACCACACAAAAAAGAGAAAAAATAATTGAGTCATCTTGTGCCTAAAATTCTTATAAATTGTGGTTGTGGGGGAGGGAGGTGTATGTGTCAAACAATATTCAAGAAATCAAAGTATTAGAAGGAATAAGACGTTTTTATGATAAACTTAATGTTATCAAAACATCACCAGAACTAAATGGAGAGAATTACCCTGATTAGCTTTAGCTTTGACAAACTCACCAGTGAAAACTAGAGAAGCATTAAACCTCAGTGGATATGTGCAGAAGCTAAATTACATCCATCTGAAAGTGCAGTTTCATTTCTCTTTTTCTTCATGATAAGCTGAAGAAATAAATTCAACCTTAACGCACAGAGCAGAAGCAGAATTCTGTCAGTAGGATAGATTCACCAAGATTAAAAGGACACAAGACTAAAGATTTTCATAAATTATATAAACAGTCTTCCAATAATTTACACTTGGAGAAAATGTTCATGAGAGCTTTTGTAACTATTCCAGTCATTCAAATCGTTTATTGGGGAAGGATATCTAAAGGGGTGGAGTAAAAATAAGTGTACTGCCACAAAGAAAGTGTTAAGCATGTATTTAGGGCCTCAGCTTTATTTGAAGTGTGACAGCATTATAGCTAAATGTATAGGAGAAAGAGAGGGAGAGAGAGGGAGAGAGAGTCACGCATGCACTTATTACATAAAGAAACCGCAAGTGCTTTTTCTATTGCAAATAAAATCCATACATGGGTAGATTGGGAAAACAACAGGTGCAAATGCTTACAATCAAGGTGAATTTTTTTTTTTTGACCCAATGACATTAAACCTCAAAAGAGTAATTCTAACCATTTTCAAATGGCATTATTTTACATCACCTTGGAGAGTGGAAATCTATTCTGGAGTTCATGATGCCTCCTGGCTTCTTTTTTCACATATTTATTTCTTTTCAATGTAAGGAGTTTGAAACGCAGGTTGCCGCATGTTTTGTTGGAAGAGCAGCTATGACACTGATAGCGTGTGGCGTTTACAGTATATAATCTGCAACATGCACCTAAAGGGTTCCCAGACCTGATGCTGTTTCATGCTTCTGCAATAATTTTGCACTTGTAATTTTGAAAAGAAATGCTAAGTGTGTGTGTGTGTGTGTGTGTGTGTGTGTGTGTGTGTGTGTACATGCATGAGTCGTAAAGGGCCTTCCTATGCCACATCTCCACCATCACCATATCCAGGGCTCTGTGAAACTAGGGGAGCATGATACTATCAGGCTCCCAGGAGTCACAGTCGTTCCCAGGGTTTGTGTCATTTTCCTCTTGGTGTCTCCCCCGAGCCCAAGGATCCTGGACACATCGTAGTTTTTCTCACAGCTGCTGAAGCCTTTCTATTGGTGGGCAGAGTGCTACTTTGCCTTCGGTGGGCACACCATCACTGTTAGGCAAGGGAGTGGTGCGGTTAACAGCCAGGTGCCACAATCATACTGCCTGGATTTGAAACCTGGCCCATCATTTACTAGCTGTGTGACCTTGAGGAAGATACTTGACCTCTTTGGGCCTCAGTTTCTTCAGTTGTAAAAAGAAGATCATTTTAATACCTGTGCCACAGGGTTTCTGTGAAGGTTAAAAGACTTAGTACATGGAAGTGCCTAGAACAGCACTGGCTCAGAGGAAGCAACAAATATGCCTTTGCTGCTCTCCTGACCACCACCCCTGCTAGGGATTATCTTTCCATCTCATCAGCTTACTCTTCTTGGATAGTGCAGAGTTCACACTGGCTGTCAGCTCAGTGAGAGCCCAGAGCAGCGAAATCTGGGCAGCAGATGAGCGTCCCTGAGAGCCAGATCCCCTCCCTGCATGCCACCCTTCTGGGAGCACAGTTTTCCCCCTGCCCCACCTCTGCAGCCTGGGTCAGCAGTGGGCACAGAGCAGTGGCATCCTCGCCAGTCCAGCCGAAGTTTCCCTTGCTGAGGCTTCAGGCTGGAAGTTTCCCCAGAATTTACTAGGTAATCAACTAGAACAATCATGGGAAACGTCAAAATTCAGGCTCAAAGCTGTGCCTATTAGAATGTCCCTGCAAACACCTCTATTGAACATATCAGAGAAGAGAGGCGAGACAAAGAACCCAAAAGTAAACTTCCCCACCCTGCACACAGAAAATCACCTTCCACGGTTTCTTCAGCCTAGGGACCAACTCTGCTGGTGATGCCAGATGTTTAACCAACTGAGAACATGGAGGGTGAGATTTCTGGTTTACTACTGCCTGCCATTTTGTAGGGCTCTTTACCAAAGCCTCACATATATTTTTTCAAAATAATATTTTTCCAAAAACTAAAGAAGAAATCCTTATATCAATTAATGTAATTACACAGCATACTACCCTCCAAAGCCAGTGACTCAGGAGGCCAATTATGGTCTGGAGCAAACAGATCTTAGAAGATTTCTATCTGAGGTGCAGGAATATCTTCTTGATTTAAAGTGAGAATAGGCAAGCTTCCTAAGCATTTTTGTCCCATTATCCAAAATATTAAGTATTTTTTTCAGACCTTAAAATTGGACCCTCAGGAAAACAAAGTGGTTTGCAGAATGGAGCCTGGGATAAGAGTAAACTAACAGGAAATTGCATTTTAAATTCTTAAAAAGACTCGAACAAAGACATATTCAAAGATGTTCATTTACCATATTATTGGTAAACAGAATATTGGAGACCATGTTAGAAGCTTCTTGAAACCTAGACACTTTGCTATGTTTGGGAGGTGTTGTCACTCTCACTGAGATCTGTGTACACAGGCTACAAGGCTCAGGTAAGCTCTAACTTGGAGTGGATCGAAAGCTTGCTCTATAAAATGTCCCTATGACTATATGCAGAGGGGCTGACAGGTTGGTCTTTGGACATCTCCAGCTCAAGGCTGAGTCCTTACATTCAGATTTTATTGCACAGGTGTAACCTGGTCCTTACAAGTGCTTCCTAATCTCCCCCACCCCCCAAACCTGCTCTCCCACCAGATTTCCCCAAGAAGGGCTTTGGCACAAATGATGAAATAAAGGTGACCTTTAGTTACCTGCTTTTCTATAATTTGTCAGGAAGGTTATGTTGAAATTTATGGCGTAGAGATAGAGGGCAACTTGGACATCGATGGTGGAGGGTGGCAGCCTGTTGAGGGAATTTATTAACTTAGATGCAGGCACATAACAAGCTGTTAGGCCAGCAGCCATAGCAGCAATCTTCGCAGCCAACAGTAGGGGAACAATCACTTCGACCTTTCCTTCCTTCATTCCTATTGTTCTAACAGCAATGATCAGTTTCTGTGTCTTTATTGCAAAAGCATCACTGGGCAGCGTGCTGCTGGCTTTCTAACAATCTTTCAGCTCTGTGCTGGTGCTAAAAACCTTTGTTGCCATGTGTGTGCTCTCCCTGGCAAAGGTTGGAGTGCAGAATTGGTCATCGCTGACTCTCCATAGGGTCCCTGCAATCCAGCGTTCTAGGAGAGAGTTCATCATCTTTGGTGAAATGCCCTGATGACTTTCTCAAAGTCCTTGATGATGTCCATAGGTTCAGAGGTTCAAAGTTATTCTAGAAATTCAAAAGCGCAGCTAGTAGGTCTTTTATGACCTCTTAAGAAAGGATAAAATAAAACTGAACAAGCTGTGAAGCAGGCTAAGATTTTTCCCACCAACACTCATGCCACCAACCATTCGGCCAATGAATAGTCACTTGAACTTAGGAGAGGTACAAATTAAAACCAAAGCCAAGGTTCCCATAGTCTTGTCCT